ATGATCAAAAGTTGTATGAGAGTCTTCAGAACCTTGTTTTCAGAGTCTTTAGAACCTTACTCTTCAAAACCTAAGTCTTCAGAGTATTCATAACTTGTTCTTCAGAACTACAGAACTATGGAGCGCAAAATCATCAGAGCTTGATAATCTTCATAAGCTCTTCTATCAGAGTCACAATAGAAATCTCTTTCTTCAGAAGATTTGAAAGTTAATCTTGTTCTGATAGAAGCATCTTTGATTTAGTTTCATAGCCAATGATCTTTCCCTTTTGGTTGCCTCCAAAGCCAATAGTGCCTCCAGACTTAAGTTCCAAATCTTGGAACATATGCCTTTCGCCTTTCATGTGTTGCAAGCATCCACTGTCCAGGTGCCATGATTGGTGTTTCAGTTGCGCCATCAAGAACATCTGCAACATAGATTATCTAGTCCTTAGGTACCTATTTTTTGGGTCCTTTCTTGTTAGAAATTCCAGAGGTTCTGACACCTTTGGAATTTTGTGCAACAGAATAATCATGTGAAATTTGTGCATGCTATTTAGGCTTAGAAGTTTCCTTATGTGTCTGTGATTGTGGTTTAATCAAATCAGAACCTTCTTGCTCAGAATATTTCAGTTCAGTGCCAGCAAGAACGAAATGTTCAGAGAGAGGTTTTGGTTTGATAATCAGAGTCTCATCAATTTTCTTTTATGGTCCTGAGTATCCCAAACCTCTGCTTCCATTTCTACTAACACCGTAGATCATTGAAAGCATTTTGCTTCTATCTATTCTCTTAGCTAGGAAATACTGAAAAGCTCTATCATATTTGATTACTTCATAAGTAACAGATGTGCTAGAGATTATCTCTTCTTCCAACCTAGAAACTTTACTTTTGAGAGCTAGATTTGATTTTTCTAAAACAAATAATTTTTCATTTAAATCAGAAACATTTTACTTACCATTAGTAGAGTTTTTTAGAAGTAACTACAAACTTCTTTTTCAGAGTTTTGTATTTACTTAGAAGAGTTTGATATTTTCTCACCATTTCATAAAAACAAGATTCAAGTTGAAAACGAGATAGAGAAGCAATTACCCCAGCTTTATCTTCAGAGTCTGACTCATCATCTACTGTCAGCTTACATTCTGAGACAACTTCATTAGTTCTTGTACTGACCATGAGTGCCCCATTTGCATGCTCTTCATCAGAATCTTCATCTTCTGATTCTGAATCATCCCATGTTACCATGAGACCTTTCTTTTCTTTGTAAGCCTTCTTAGGATTCTTGTCTTTCTTGAGCTTTGGGAATTCATTTTTGTAATGTCCATGCTTGTTGCACTCATAACAAGTAACTTCTTTTACAGACGCCTTCTTTTGACCAGATGTAAATTCTGATCTACCATTAGTTCTTCTTGGTCCTATGAACTTGCTCTGCCTGTGTTTCCATATCTGAATTATCCTTCTCGAAATCAGAGACATCTCATCTTCGTCTGAGTCTTCATTAGATCCTTCTGATTCTTCTTTAGCTTGAAAATCCTTGGTCTTTCCAGACTTAGACTTCAAAGCCACAAATTTAACTCTTTTTTTAGGTTCATCTTCCTCAAGCTATATCTCATGTCTTCTTAAAGAACTAATTAGTTCCTAAAGACTCGTGTTACTCAGATTCTTTGACAACTTCAAAGAAGTTACCATTGGTCTCCATTTCTTAGGAAGACTTCTGATAATTTTCTTTATACAATCTGAAGTAGAATAACCTTTGTTAAGAACCTTAAGTCATGCAATAAGTGTATGGAATCTTGAAAACATCGTTTCCACATATTCATCATCTTCCATTCTGAAGGCCTCATATTTATGGATTAAGGCAAGAGCCTTTGTCTCCTTTACTTGAGCATTTCCTTCGTGTGTCATCTGAAGAGAATCAAAAATGCCTTTTGCAGTTTCTCTATCAGTGATCGTTTTATATTCATTATAGGAAATAGCACTAAGCATAGTGGTTCTCGCTTTGTAATTATTCTTGTAAACTTTCTTCTGAGCATCTGTCATTGCACTTCTTGCAATATTATGACCCTTATCATCTACTGGGTGGGTGTAGCCATCAACTTCCAAATCCCATAAATCCAAGTCATATGCCAGAAAGTAAATTTCGATTATATCCTTCCAATAGAAAACTTCTCTCCATCAAACATAAGAGGTTTTGAATTATAATGGTCTCTATCATTATCCCTATTATCAACAGTGGTAGCAACAAGTCTAGCCATTGGTTTTTCACACAACCTGGATCGGTACTGAACACTGTTAAGTGTTGATAAAAATGCAAACTTTTTATCACCTCAGAATTGAAGCTCTGATGCCAATTTAAGGTGTGAAAAACACAAGAAAGAGGGGGAGGGGGTGAATTGGGTTTTAAATAAAAAAACTTTTCTTTAAAAATAATCCCCTTTGAATGAAATATGTTTTCCCCATTCTTGATAATAACAATAATTAAGAATAGGAAGTAAAGAATAACGTATGTTTATACTAGTTCACTTGAAAAATATCAAGTTAGTCTATTCCATCCACCAAGGTGATTTCGCCTTATCAAACAAGGACTTAATCCAATAATCAAACTGATTATTACAATGCACAAGCTATCCGTAAGTGACTAACAACAACCTCTAAGACACACAAGTCCTATACTTCTTAAGGATACTGACCTAACTGGTCCCTTAAGGAAAATCAAACAACTGTTTGAACAAATTTTGTTTACAAAAGATGTGCTTCTTAACAAGCTAATATGTAAACAGTGTTTCACAACTATACAGACTAAAGAGAAATGAAAAGCGTATGAAGCGACTTTTTAGAATGTGAATTGGCATGAATTATCCGCTTTCTCTCTTAGTCTTCAAGCCTTTATATAACCAATAGAATAATATATCCGTCGAGGAATACTTTTGGAATTTTCAGAATCTTTGGCGGCTTGAATCACGTGGGGAACAGGATCGTACGACACGTCCGTGCTTCATGGTAGTGGAATGAAACGTTTTGATTGTACCATGTACATTTTGTACCACGTTAACGTTATCTTCTTTCCTTCTGTACTTCAGAGGCTTCTGCGAGCATGAGCTTAGAAGAGAGAACATAACACTAAGGTCATCAGAATATCAAGTCTTCAGAGTCTTCAAAATTGCGTCTTCAGAGTCTTCAACACTTGGTCTTGAGAACCTTTTCTAGAACCTTGGGTCTTTAGAACTTCAAGTCTTCAGAGTCTTCTGAACTAAGTCTACAGAATCTTCAACACTTGGTCTTGAGAACCTTTTTTAGAACCTTGGGTCTTCCGAACTTCAAGTCTTCAGAATCTTTAACACTTGGTCTTAAGAACCTTTTCTAGAACCTTGGGTCTTCAGAACTTCAAGTCTTCAGAGTCTTAAGAACTGCGTCTTCAGAATCTTTAGCACTTGATCTTTGAGAACCCTTTGTCTTCAGAAACATGAGTCTTTAGCATCTGGACTTCAGGTAGAAACTTTTGTCTTCAAATGTTCTGACTGGTTTCTTTAGAACATGTTGTCTTCAGAAACATGAGTCTTTAGCATCTGGAATTCAGTAGAACTTCTGTCTTCAAATCTTCTGACTGGTTTCTTTAGACTTTATATCAGAGCCTACACTTCAGAGTCTTCTGGAGGGTCTTGCTACTGTTCATCAGAACTTGTGTAGCGCAGAAGCGGAACTTGTCTCTTCTAATATCTTGGCCATGCCATTTATCAGAAGCAGGACATGTTTGTTAGATACTCACAAGTAACACACATTAGAGTACCAAAATTATTCATACAAACAAACTCTTTGTTATCATCAAAATTCAGAGATAAAATTGCAGAATCAAATCTTGTTCTAACATCTATGTGCATCTCATATTTAATATATTATAATAGATTATAACTAAAATATTGCACATATATTTCAGTAAGCCAACTCAATTGATAATTTTGCAAAAATGTCAAATGTAAGAGTGTGAGTTCAAACCAACAACATCCTACGTATTCATCTTTAAAACGTGGAATTTCAACTACAATTATTAAACAAAAAAAGAAATATTACACATATATCTTGACAGATTTATTAAAGAGCGGATGGGTGCTATGACACCCCTCAACTTTTTTTAATATATTTTTTAATAAAATATACACATAGTTCAAGTATGTTCTAATTTAAGAAAAAATAAATAAGTAGAAAATCATAAAAATTTAAAAAGAGGAAAGAAAATGTGAGGGGATTTATTGCAAAAGAGAGAGAAGACAATTATGATTAGTTTATAATAATATGTAGGACTTGAATATTTTTTGTGACCTAATATCCTTAGGTTAAAAGACCAGTATTAGTTAAAATAAAATCCTTTCTATAAGAAAAGGACATGTTTTTTTATTTATTAAAACATGTCAAATAAAGTCTTATTTTCTTCTATTTAATCGTGTCAAGTATTTTTTTAATTATAAATCTCTTTAATCATTTAAGTGATATTTTTATTTATTTTATAAATTAACCTAGCGTCTATTATTATTATTATTATTATTATTATTATTATTATTATTATTATTATTATTATTATTATTATTATTATTATTTTATTTTAATTTTTTAGCTTTTGTTAATTTTGCTTGGCCCTTTTCTTTTTTCATTATAAATAAATAAAAATTGATTTTTTGTCTTCTTTTACAAAAAAACTTAATAAGTTATGTCATAATTTTTAAAATTGATATACATATTCATCTCATGCATGCTACATTCTTAATATTCAAGTTTTTTTTCCACGTAGGCGATATACGTATGTTTTTATTTTACTTGTTCATGTCTTTCATCGCAATTGACTTGGTAACATTAGGCATTTAAATCTCTAAATAAACATTTTGCATGATACACACACACGACATTAGTTTATAGGTTTAACGTTTGTTTTGGTTTGTTTGTTCACCACCAGAATCAAAGGATCTCCGTTAATCTCGGTTCTTGTCTATATATCACTCTTTTTCTCCTTAATTCATTTTCCAAACATCACAATGGATTCATCATCTTGTTTACACATAGCAATGTACCCATGGTTTGCAATGGGCCATCAAACTGCATTCTTTCACATAGCTAACCAACTAGCAAAAAAAGGCCACAAAATCACATTTCTCACACCTCAAAAAGCACGATCCAAATTAGAACCATCCAATCTCCACCCACATTTGATCACTTTCATCACTATCCCAGTTCCTCATGTTCAAGGCCTTCCCCCCGATTCACAAACAACAGCTGATGTCCCTTACCCTTTACAACCACACATCATGACAGCCATGGATCTAACACAACCCGACATCCAAACTCATCTCACTATTCTCAAACCTCACATTGTTTTCTACGATTTCACACATTGGATTCCATCTCTAACAAAACGTTTAGGCATCAAAGCTATTCATTTTTGCACCGCTAGTTCGGTTATGGTTGGCTACACTTTAACACCGGCTAGATTTTCAAAACAAAATTTAACTGAACTTGATCTCATGGAACCACCACCTGGTTACCCTGATTCATCTATAAGACTTTACATTCACGAAGCTAAACTCTTTGCTGCTAAAAGGAACGAGTTTTTTGGTAGCAATGTTCTTTTCTATGATCGACAAGCCATTGCTTTGAATGAAGCTGATGCATTGGGATATAGAACTTGTAGAGAAATTGAAGGACCTTATCTTGATTACATACAGAAACAGTTTAATAAACCGGTTCTTACTTCAGGACCTGTTATATTTCAAAACTCAAATTCTATTTTGGATGAAAATTGGTCTACTTGGCTTGCTGGATTCAAACCAGATTCAGTTGTTTATTGTTGTTTTGGAAGTGAATGTGTTTTAAGGCCAAATCAATTTCAACAAGTTATGCTTGGTCTTGAGTTAACTGGCATGCCATTTTTTGCAGCATTGAAACCACCTTTTGGTTTTGTGACTATAGAAGAAGCATTGCCAGAAGGGTTTGCAGAAAGAACAAAAGGAAGAGGCGTTGTTTATGGTGGTTGGGTTCAACAACAACTAATTCTGGAACATTCTTCTGTGGGATGTTTCATTACACATTGTGGTTCAGGTTCTTTGTCTGAGGCATTGGTGAACAAATGTCAATTGGTTTTGTTACCAAACGTTGGTGATCAGGTATTGAATGCTAGGATGATGGGAAATAGTTTGAAAGTTGGTGTGGAAGTTGAGAAAGGTGAAGATGGAATGTATAGTAAGGATAGTGTTTGTGAAGCTGTAAGAATTGTGATGGATGATGAAAGTGAAATAAGTAAGAAAGTGAGAGCTAATCATACTAAGATTAGAGAGATGTTGCTTAATAAAGATCTTGAATCATCTTATATTCATGATTTCTGCAACAAGCTTCAAGAGATTGTTTTGGAAAAGAGTTGACCCATCTTTATGCACTTTAATTTAGTCATTACCAACTTAAGTATGAGACTCTCTTTTGGATTTTTCTAATGGTCATTCATCATCGTGAATTGAATCTTAGTACTAGACAAATTTTTTGATATACTTGTTTAGATATGTTGATATAAAAAAATGTTCGTAATTAACATGATTGAGAATGAGGGTGTTACAAAATTTAAATATTTGTTTAATTAGTGGAAACCTAGATGGAATTAATTTGATAATTTGTTTGATAGATGAAAAAAGCTTTGGAATAAATAATTATTTTATTTTAAAATTTATTAAAATGTTAAATTTATTTACACTAAAAATATCAGTAGCCAACTAAAAATTTTCACTCACGAGAGTAGGATGAGAAAAATATATTTTCTGGAATGGAATATTCCCGTTTAGAGTAAAACCACAAATATATCTTTAGGTAAAACCACAAATATATCTTTAGTTTTTCTATACATTTTTATCTCTCATTTGTAAATAATAATGTCTATTACAAATCTTTAGTTTGCACGACTATATTAATTTCCTAGTTTCTCTTATTTTTATAGAAGAGAATAATTGTATATATTTTCTTATTAATATTGGATTAATTTTGACTGATATTACTCTTTTTACTTTTATATCTTTGTTTCTAAGGACATATTTTGTTAAAGAATAAGTTTGGTTTGTGTTTGATTAGGTTTGGTTCTTCTTAAAAGGGTTTTGGTATAATTCCCCTTTTTTTTTTTGCATTATTTCTTTTTATTTTATATAACCTTATTCAAACAAAAATTTCGGTGCCAACATAAAGTTGTGTCAACAAAAATTATAATTAAAATAGTTTTATATCTTATTTACGAGGATTCTGTTAACTTTAACAAAGCGAAGCTGAAAGTATTTATTATTAGAAAACAAAAGCATGAATATCAAAAGGGTGTGCATAGAATAGTTTAGTTGGTTGTGTACTCATTATAAAAAAAATACTAAGTTAATAATTGTTTCGTTTAATAATTGTTTCGTTGTGAAACTGTAAATAGAGAGTATTGCGGAACTACGATAAAGTGAAACTTTCTGAGCACTACAGTGAGGTGGCACTGTAGATCGAAGGTTACAATTACGATGTTTCTTGAACCAGAGACGTTGATCTTGAATCAATGTTGTTAATCTCTAATACGACAGATCAGACGGGGAGGGGGGCTACGACAGAAAAGACGTTTAATAACGGTTGGGCAAGATGTATAATCATGCAGAATTAAATGTTGTTATGTAGTGTGTGTTTGTATATGCGTTACTTGCAATCACGATCCAGTGACCGTTGTAGAAAACTAGAAAGCGCGTGCCCTATCACAACGGTTGTGACAATTAATCGTTATGATATACATAAAGGTTCTAGGTTCAATTCTCAACATCGTCGTTTTGATATTTATATTATTCTGGACAGTGCGCGAGATATTACAACGGTTGTGTTATATAATTGTTGTCAAAAAATACGCTTAATTAATAAATATAATCCTGCTTTTATAATTTTTCCAATTTTTAACCTGTATTTTTATGGACCATGTCACAGCAGAACAAACAACTCGCATTTGTGATAAAGTTATCATAATAATAATTGTATCATAATAGTAATAAAAATTGGATTAAGAACCAAAAATTATATATTACTTCAAAATCAGCGTGTCACAAAACAACCTACAATTTATACATTACATAACATCACATGATTGTATCTTGGTGCTTTGGTTTCTTGTCTCTTGGTGTCTTGACTCTAAAGACTTGTGATTTTAAATATTCATACTTGTTAGTAAAAACACATAGAAATTATAACATACATTTAATATATTATAAGTAAAGAATAAAATGCTTACTTGTTAATTTTCCTATACGCATTCTTCATGATCGATTCGAATCGCATGCACATTGTTGTACCCCAAAATTTGCCCTCCCATTTCCTCAACATTTTCTCATCACAAGACCCTTGAAGATCAAGATCCAGTTAGGGTTTCCTCTGCTCAAGACTTCTCCTTGCACTGTGGACTCAAATTAGGGTTTGTGTTTGCCCAATGATGTTTTGACCTAAAATGCCTAAGATGACTTTCATGATTCATTTTGGACTCCCAAGTTTACCCATGCCAAGTTTCAAGTCTTGATTCCAAGTTTTTCCCAGTCAATTGGACAGTTGACCTAGAAATCAACTGTATTGGGGAAAAAGTCAACTGTGGCCAATTGGCAGTCAAACCTCATGAAATTTGACCCACATCAACATTATGAACTCATATGGACCATTTTATCAAGTTTGGATCACAATTCCACAAGAAATTTGATCAGACCACCAAAAGGGCAAAATGGTCATTTTTAGGGTTTTGATTGCACAAAGGCAATTTTTGACTGTTTGACCCAGCCAATGGCAAACCAAGCTCACATATGGACTCAAGGACCCCATGGAATTATCTTGACATGCTCAACAAGCTCAAAAGATCCCAAGTACACAAGATTGACAGTTGAATTTCCCAGTCAATTGATCAATTTTGACTGTACACTGAAAAGTCAAACTTTGACTTTTTGGTCAAAATCAAGAGTCAAGATTCATTTTTCATCAAAACTTGCCAAATCATGAAACTTGTTCACCAAGAAATCACAAAATGCAAATTAGGGTTTTAAAATGGAATTTTTCATAACTTAGAATTTTTCTAAGTTATAAAAAAACCCTAATTTTTTCCAACTTTGCCCCATGTTTTCACCAAGATCCATTTGGATTCAAATAAAAGTCAAAACATGAAAGTTGTAGCTTGTTGCATAATCTACAACTTTGATTCACAAAGTTTTCTCATTTGAAGCTTGCATCTCAAGTTACAATTTTTTGAATAAGGGCACTAAACCATTTTTTAACTTAGTGAAATTTGACCTATTTTGACAAGGTTTTCTACCCCACTTCAAGGCCATTTTTCATACCCTTCCACTTGGAATTTCAATTTGCATTTCAAAGATGGATTGTAGTACACATTCCAAGCTTTCCAAAATGTCCAAGAACTCATCAAACAACCTCATAACTTGAGAGATTCGAATTTCACAAGTTGGCAAAAATTCACTTTTGTTCTTCATCAAAACATGTCCATAACTTTGCAAATTTGAACTCAGCATGCTTTAGGCTTGATTACAGGTCCTTGAACCATTCCATACTCAATAATTTAATGCTTATTCAATGTGTTAAAGTGTTGTTCTTTGAGTGCAAGCATTGTATGCAAGATTAATCCTAAACTAGATAAAGTGAACTTTCCATTTTTGAAAAGATTAGCTTTATGTCTAATTGCAAATCAAGAAGGTACAAGCAAAATCCTTTTGACACAAGATTATGGACAAATTGCTCTGATCAAGAGAGACTTTGCTGCAGGATTAGAGGTCCCCTACTGACCTAAAACATCAAGTGGCATTTTGTTGCTTAAGATAGAAGAAAAGTGCATAACTTATCACAACTCTCATCTCAGCTCAAGCACACAAGAAAGAAGTTATCAAACACATCAGAAAGAACATATCCAAGCTAACACACGAGCCCTTGCCCTCTAAAACACTCCCATTGCCATAATCACCTTGAAACTGCTCAAACAGAGCAACCCCTGCAGATTGAGTGCTATCTCTCAATCCCTTCGAGCATTTTGGTCCAAACCTGTTCCTCTACCTTCCTTACAACCTATGCAAGCTAACCATGACCTAAAACCTGATCTGTAATCCCTCTAACAGTTTCCACCATTTTCATTTTTTCCTTTTGCAGTTGAAGTTCTATAGCTTGATTCAGAAGCTCTTAAGACAAAGTAAGCATTGAAACAGCATCCCTGGACCTCAAGGAAGCTTTTCCAATCATCACCTTGCACTGAAGGTTCCTACATTTCCAGTTTGAATTTCAACTGAACAGGTAAGTTTTTGAATTCGTATCTCTCTTATAAGGCATTGTTAGCTTTAGGTTTGTGAAGAGAACATGTCATAATCATTCCCCTGAACATGCCCATATAAGTAGATTTTATTTATATTATGTGTGTTGCAAGAATTTGATGCCTGAACTTTGAACAAAAATTAGGTTAAAATTTGGGAGAGAAGAAATTCTCTCTCATCTCTGAGAGTTAGATCATGTTCTTTATATGTATAAAATCGTGAGATTATGCTTTACATGTTTTATGTTGGAAGTTTGTTCAAAGGATCAAAGAATCAGGACCTTGATGTTGAAGCAAGAGGCGCGCGTTTTTGAACTTAGTCTTGGCCAAAGGTTGAAGACAGTGTCTTCTTGGGCTGGGCTTTTGTGTTATTGCTCTTCACACTACTTTTTTTGATTCACACCCCCTGAGCCCATTTGATTCATTTTTTAACATTTTTGACTTTTTCCTTTTTTGTTTGACTTGTTTATTTTTTTCCAGCACATTAAAATTTTGAAAATATTTTTTCCATCATTTTTTGTATTTATTGCATATTTATTTGTTTATTTCCTTTGTTTATACATAAATATATACATATTATTATTTAGAATAAAAAAATATGTAAAAAATACTAATATTTTTATTTTCATTTTATATTCACCTTCTGAAAATATTTCACATAAAAAATACTTTTTTTTTATTTATTTTATTAAATATTAAATATATATTATTTTGTATATAATGCATATTTAAGAACTTAATATATATATATAAATATGTTTATTAATATAAATATAAAAATACTTGAACTTTTCATTTTTATTAATATTTGACACAAAAATACTTTTTTTCATAATATACTTCATTTTATTTTTATTTTTGTACATAACAAATAAATATTTATATTAAATTAAATAATAATACATTTTCTTTAAAATTAGGGTTTTTGCCCTGAAAATTGAAAATACTCAAAAATAATACCTTTTTATTTTCTTTTCTCTTTTACATAAATAATATTTTTTTCATACATATACAAAACATTTCTTTTACCTCTTGCATTTTTATTGCACATTGATTAAATTGCAAATATTCAAAATTGAT